CTCTCTCTCTCTCTCTCTCTCTCTCTCTCTCTCTCTCTCTCTCTCTCTCTCATGTTAGCTCTTAGTCTCATTGATTTGGCTACCTTAGGGCTGTGTTCCCCGCGCCCACGCGGTAGACAATGCCCAGTGGCCTCACTTACGTGCCTGGGCAAGCTTGGTGTTCTACCAGCTAGAGATAACCCGTTGGCCCCCCAAGCCAGCATTGGCAGGACCTTGGTTGATGTTGTTGGTTGCTATGCAGCTACAATATTGGCCATTAGACACCGCCGTGTGGGGTTTGGGGGGGGGTTAGGGGGAGGTGCAGTGGTTGGCCATTGCTCGGCGCTAGCACCGCCTATTTCCCCCATAGGCAATGCCTGCCCACCCGTCGTCACCGTGATGAGGGACTGGTACAGCCTTGCTCTCGCACCGCTGCTGTGGTGCCAACCTACCCCGTGGGCTGGGGAGAGATCCGGGTTGGTTGGTGTTCCCCCGTACTACACATACACACTGAGAGGATGAGATAGATGAGTACTAGCAATAAAAATGAGATAGATGAGAGAAGAATATAGCTTTTGGAAAAAAAACTATTGGACTCTTCCGAATGCTCCTCGTCGAGAAACACGTCCAAATGAGCTTAGAGTGGAACGAGGCCCTACTTCGCGCTTGTCGAGCCCTGGCCACGGATGTGCCTGGTAGGCGTAGAAGTACGGTTTGGGGTTATCGGGAGACTTCGAGACTTCGCGAAGGCCCCGTCGGGTACCGTGTCCGTGCGCTCACAGCCACGACTTGACTGGAGAAGCCTAATATGCACAATCCACGTTGTTTTCCCGTCCTCCCGAAGCATCCTGCGCGGTAAGACGCATGTTCCGCCTTTTCCTATTCGTCAATTCTTTACCCCGCGGTGGTCCAGTCCTGTGCACCTCCTACACCCAGCCTCGGCCTGTGGCAATGCGAAGAGTCCCATTTCGTCTGGGCCATGGGGCTGTGGGGGTAATTCCCATCTGCTGCTTCGCACGTGCCTTCCCTTCTTCTCTTGTTCTGTTCAAGCACACCGATCGCCAACTCGGCGCCAACTGCTCAAGCACTAGAATTCTATTGAATTTGGCTTTTCGCGCTTTCCACATTTGTGTCGGAGGTTTCCTGTGTCCCAGCGTCTCGTATCGCTTGTTCTGATCCCTTACCGCCCATCCCCTGCGCCGCTTGCGCTTCGGGCGATTCGCGCGCTCCTGTTCCGGTCGTCCCTTTCCTCGCGTCGGTTGTTCCAGTCGGTACATAGCATCGTGTGTGTCCCCTTCCCCTCGCTCCCAACTATTTATTTCCAGCGGTGACGTTAGTAATCGCCTGCGACTTCGGTGAGCTGATATTGCGGGAAATCTCTCTACGCGTAAGCACTCGCTCGAGGCGTGATCGTTGACGGCTGAATAAGGTGAGCGGTGAGCGAGTTGATAATGCTATGAGCTGTGTGTCCTACCCGCAGGGCGCGCCGTACGCTGCCTAGATGGTACGTGAGTGCAACAATGGTGCAATAATTCTGCGTCCGTTAATTAATTAAAGGTGATGTGTGCGCACGAGCGTGCGTGGCTCGTTGTTAATCTGATGGGGGAGAGGACGAATTCGTTGCCTGCACCTCCTTCGCATGGGGGGAGTAGTGGGGCCAGTGTAATGAGGCGCGTGGCGCGAGGAATGAGTTGTCACGTATGATGACGGCAAGTAAATTGGAGAGTGATTGCTGATCGGATTGCCATGACCGCCCCCCAGCTTCTGATCAGCTCAGCGATGGTGTACCTTTCGTACAGGTTGTCAAAGCTTGTACGGGCACTCGCTACTCTGTTTCTGTGGGCCGTAGTTCAGCTCAATGGACTGCTAATTTCCAACTCGTGGCAGGGCGGGCTTAATCTACTCTGCTGAGAAGGACCCTGGTAGGTAGTATATCCGAGTGAATCGCGCGTGATCATCGTCACTTCAAGGGTGTGCAATCTGCCGTCGGGGATTCGAATCCCTCATACGCCAGTCGTCCAGGGGGTAACACCGGAGGGGGTTGCCTTCACCTCCCTCTTATCTGAGCGCGATGCGTTAACTGCGTTACTTCACTCGAATCAGTTGCGTGCTTTCTCCAAACGCAGGTGTCTGTCCGTTTGATTGACCAGTTCCCGACGTGCTGGCGGCGCGGGAGTTTGTCCCTTTGTGCCCGTTTGTTTGTTGGTCGTCGCCCTGTTTCCGCCTCCCCCTTTTGCGGCGCGTGTGGGGGGGTTTCACTTGTCTGCGCGGGGGAATTGTACGCTGATCGTGATCGATTCACTCGGTCATGTCAAGGGATCTATTCGCTCGGTCATGTTTCTTTGACATGAAGTCATCGCCGATCGGATTGGCTCACGCGCTCGTTCCACAGCATGATTTCTCATCATTGCTTATGCCCGGATGCCATGTTCGTCTATCCGATTCTCTCTCAGTCACTATGTAGCAGGTTGCGGTAGGCATGAGCGAGATTCAACCGTTTCTGCGTTGTCGGCGCGCTTTTGAGCTTTCACCGCATGGTCATCTTCTCGGGCGCTGCGTTTCGCCGGCCCGCAGCAGAGTGTGTGTGTGTGTGTGTAGAAGCTTTGTGCTACGTAGCTCTGATGCAACACGTGACGTCTCTGTGCTGACTTTCCATGCCAGTGGTCACTCCAGTCGTACGCTGCGGGCCTATTTTCGGCTCTTTTCCGTTGGCCTGGTCTGAATCGGTCTTCTCTCTCTGATCAGGTGTCTACTCTAACCGGATCGTTCGGTTCTGCTGCCCGTGTTTTCTCCTTTGGGTGTCTTTGTCTTCTCAAAAAGTAAGTCGTGTGGCGAGAGATTTAAGGAGAAGAGATCAATTTGTGGGAGGAGATTGACGAAGTGGATGATCGAGCTAAGAGCTGATCACAAGAATGAATGTAAGAATGATAAATGTTGGAAGTGTTCTCAGTTTTAGGTGATTAAGAACGAGTGCCGAAGGTTATGAGCTAAAGAACGTGAAGGCTTCGCCCATTCTGTGGGCGAAACCTTGTCCGTCCGTTGGTGGCTGTTGAGTCGTGTTGACAGGCCGTCGCGGAATTCACGCAGTATGAAAATTTGCCTATCAAGCGTTACTACACGTGCCTTACTGTGTGTGGGTCCTCGGCCGCGATTCGTGGTTAGGGGTTTATTCTCTTTTCGTTTTCCCGTTTCCTTTTATCTCTAAAAGGGCGACGGCCTCGAGATATCATCATTGAACTGACTGGCTCCAGGATATTCAGAATGACTTCATTCTCATCATCTGATTGTATCTAGATCCGAACTTGGGTATGAGGGGTTTATTCTTCTCACGGCTGGCGGCGGTCGTTCAGAAGGATAATTTGATTATTAACACAAATATTTTTATGACTTAAGCGTAGGGGGTTGATGGGCTATGTTTGGTGGTTATCCGAATGGCTCGCTGAAGTCTTGAGTGGGTGTTTGGACGGATCATTACCGCTGTCAGGTCTGCGTGTTTGCATGGACGCTCACTCTGATCGCGATGTTTTTACGTATGCGATGGATGATGACGTGCTCACTGATTCGAAAAGAGAATGGATGGATAATTACAGCCAGGTAGAGTTTGACTGTGCTCGCATTTCACTGAAGGATACTACAGTACCTTTGTGTGTGTGTGTGTGTGTGTGTGTGTGAGAGAGAGAGAGAGAGAGAGAGGATGAGCGGCTGTACTCTGGAAAAAGGATGAAGGTACCTCAGGTAATATGCACCGGGACGTGCCGGGTGTCCGATGTATGCTAACAGGGGTATAGCGTGCTCTGAGATTTTTATGTGGCTGCTTGCGTCCATGATGATGTTTGGCTGTGATTAGTATTGGTTGGTTGATTTCTTTGGTTACGCAAAATATTGACCGCCTGCGAAACAGAGTGCAGGTAATTGACAATGATGATCCTGCTGTGTTTCTTCAGTGTGTTTGTGTTTATCAGGGTCAATTCTTCGTCAATATTGTGCGCAGAGAAGGCGGGGAGAAGTCCTCGAGAGGGTCGTTTGTTGCTGTGAAGTGGGAAGGTAAGCAAGGAGAGGGAAGTGGACCTCTAGGATTTACCTGAGCTTTGAAGCGCAGGGTCAGGGCTCTGGGGGACGCGATGGCCAATCGTGGCGGCCGAACACAACTGCCTCCTGGATTTGAGGAGCCTTTCCCAAGCTTTGGGTCCGCTTTCGGCATGATGGGAGGAATGGGAGGAGGGCAGTCTCTTTTCGGGAGTTTCTTTCAGAATGACCCGTTCAGTACCGACCCTTTCTTTACGAGGCCGTTCGAGCACATGGATTCGATGTTTCAGCGGATGGGAAGCATGTTTGGTGGACCCATGCTGAGTGGCTTTGAGCAGCAACCGCGTCAATTCCTCCAAGATCGGCCAGCGCATACGGTGCGCGCTCATCCTTCGTTTTCTTCCATTCTCTCCCCCCCCTCCCTCCTCTCTTGTTCTCTCTTTGTTGAGTTCTATACGTCCATGTGAGTTTTATACGTCTTTTGTTGAGTTTTATACCTCTTTTGGCGGCCTTCGTGTCATTCCCCGAAAACGTCCGTGTAAATAGAGCACAGAGGACACACTGGAGTCGTTGGTTGGGGCGGGCGGCAGGAGGGTGTCGGCAGAAAGGAGGAGAATGCAGGGGGAGCACGTGTGTGGTAGGGGAAGAGGTTCTCTGTAATGGGAAAACGGATGTCTTCAGCATACGCTCTTGGAATTTCTCTATGCTCAAGTAGAGCTGTCGCTTAGGGAACGTGGTGTCGAATTGCTTTGGGGATGGAGGGGGGAAACAATCATATAATAGATATCAGTGATATAGGGTATATACAGTATCATTGAAGGTAAAACTGTCTCTCAGAGGATATCTGTGGAGGCGGACTCTTTCGATATATCATGTACATATGCCTTGCGCAAGGGAAGGGGTTCGATTGGGCCGAGGGGAGGGAAGTTCTCTTGAGGTTGGCAGCGTATTAGTGTGATCTTTACGAAGAGAGACAAAAGAAACGTTTCGGGAATGTATGTGGCGGAGAGACGAAAGGGGGTTCGTACGTGTATACCTCATGTCGACGAGATTCTTTGCCCATGTGATGAAAAAAGGGGGTTCATACGTGTATACTCATGTTTACGAGATTCTTAAGCCCATGTGATAAAAAAAGAGCCAAGTGGATCGAAGCGGGTTCTGTTGTCGATTACGTTATAATAGTTAATTGTTTATCGTGGAATGCGATTCGGAGAAAGCAACGCAAAGTGAGGCGAAGTTGGGTGGGGGGTATTGTACCACAGAATTGTACGGAAATTGCTCGAACGAAATGTTGTCAAAGCATGCATGGTGCTTCGCTTCTTGTTTTCCTTTTCTTTTTTTTTTTTGGAAAAAGGGCGACGGCCATGCGATACCAAAGTGACCGTCCCTAGTGGGAATTCTAGTATGTCACTCATCTGCTTGCAGTGGAGTCTGAACTCGGGTGTGGATTTCAGGAGTTCAGGGGTGTATCACCTGAGCTAGGCCAGTTGGTTGGATGGATGGTGCATTGGGGGACGAGGACGACGCGGATGTTCGACCCGCAGATTTTGCTTCCCACGCGTTTGTCTTGGGACTGGTATATGATGAAGTGCCGATATATGTCGAAATGCCCCTTGTGTGCGTTTAAAAATCAGGATATGTGAGATGGTGACGTGGTGGCCGCAGAGAGATGTGCAGAATTACTCCTGGATCTCCGCTTTTCGCACCACCCCTACTTCGCTGAGGGAGATACGGTTAGTACCAATTCATAATAGAATAGAAGAGTCCTAAGCAAACCATAGGTTGAGCGGAATATATGGGAATCATCCTCCTGAGCACTTGAATTCTTATATCGAGGAGTCCCATGCAAACCATAGGTTGAGCGGAATACATGGGAATCATCCTCCTTAGCAGTCGAAGAATTCTTACGGAAAATTTTCACGCTACGTATTAGTCTGAGGTACGCGCGTTTGCTGCTGCTGCTACTCATGATGATGGTGCTGAGAGGCGAGGTGCACGAAGCGGTACGTTTGGAGGCTAGGAGGGGAGGAATGGAATTGTCGTGTCCGAGACAGTGACGGAAGATGACGTTGTAACCCTCTCGGAAGAGAGAGGGGAGTGGAGGGGGAGGGGAGGGGGTAGCAGCGCGCATGCGCACGTGTGGGTAAGCAACTGAGCTGCCCGTTTCGCTCGGAGCGGGTGCTGGCTCTCGCCCGGCGGCTTGCCTGATGAGAGAGGGGAGTGGAGGGGGAGGGGAGGGGGTAGCAGCGCGYATGCTCACGTGTGGGTAAGCAACCGAGCTGCCCGTTTCGTTCGGAGCGGGTGCTGGCTCTCTCGCCCGGCGGCTTGCCTGTGATAAGTCAAGGGGTGTTGTAAGTTCTTAGAGGAGACGAGTCGAGGGGTGTTGAAGTTCTTAGAGGGAAAACACGAGAGATCGCCTTCACCGCTTTGGTTGTTCTCGAGACCACCAGTCAACCTCGGATAGAGAGAGTATTTCGTTCGCCTGTTCTTTGTAAGAACTGGTGCCGAGAAATTTGAGCAGGGATTGAGAAAAATCCATGTGTGCGTAAGGATGAGAAAGCAGTGCGATGAACCGGTGCCGAGATATCGAGAAATATGCGTATGTGTGCGTAAATGTGAGAAAGCAGTGTCATGCGAAACGGGAAAGAGGAATATAATGAACGGAGGGGGGGTATTCTCTTGTGTTTTCCCCTTCCCCGACTCTTTCCCTCTGCTCTCTTTTCGTTTGGCAGATGTGCGTGTAGGCGTTCTGACATGTGACAACAACAAATAGATTAATGCAAGCATACGTCCGCCAGTCAGCTCGCTGACGAGACCAGGGAGAACGGAGGTTGAAGATGAGCGTAGGCGCATGCATTCGTACACAAGGACTTAAACCTGTTGGCATGTAGACACGGACCATATACGTGTCCTATTGTGAAATGAACAAGCCGAACCCACTAAGCATGCGATAGTGAATGTGGCGCAGACGTCGTATATTAAGGAGTGGTTTGGACCAATGAATCAAGCAAGCGCTTGTCTAATAAGCCACCAACCCCCCAGCCGATTTTTCTGACTGCCGCGTGATCGAAGCTCGACAGCCAATTAAGTGAACAGCTAGTCAATCAAATGAAAAGACAGCCCTGTCACATTTTGCATTTGGTGGGGTACACATGTATACTATTTGTATGACAAGATCTATGTATTATGCCTATGCAAAACACATGTATACTATTTGTATGGCAAGATCTATGTATTATGCCTATCTAATGGACTGACCTAGTATCTATCTAATTCTGAAAATTTTCATTTTCTTCATTATTTATTTTTATTCTTATAACTTTAAATTATGACATCATATTGTAATTATGCAATAATTCTATACTATATAATATTTTATTCTATAGTATAAGTCTGGCATATTTACTTGACCTGTAATTTCAGTAATCGATTGTTTTTATTTATCCATACACCTTTTCGAAGTACTCCATGCATAGATGGATGATGAGGTCCCATACTCACTATCATTGAATTTGTTTTTCTAAGAAGCATGGTAAAAGAATATTCCTTTGAAGACTAGTGAAACATGAATTCCACCTGAAGCTACAGGTAATACACCTGGTAAAGAAACCCAATCTTGGGTAAAGTAAACGAACCGTAGGGAGGGAGGCGGAAGAGGACAACAAACGAGGGGGTGTGGCGGACTGTTCCGTGTTCCATATGTGGATATATGAGTTGTTGGAACTCCGACGAACACAGGCCCCGTTTTCGTCCACTTTTAAGTTCTATATGACGAAGTGTACGTATATATTGTCATACCCACCCAGTTTTGCGTCTGCACGTGTATGTGCATGTAGATATATGGTTCAGCCTTGATGAGTCGGTAAAACTCCGACGAAACAGTTTGTCACAGCCCCTCGTTTGTTGTCCTTTTCTCCCTCCCTCGCTCTCTGCCTACGGTTGACCGGGCAGCTCCCCTGTTTGACGATATATACGTATCCAGCTTCGCGCTTGTACGGTACTCTTCGCGCTTGTGCGGTACTGTTTTAAGTTGACGAATCATGTAATAAAGTGACTACAGGCTTTACCAGAATACAACGTACGGTCACTATTGCTGTATCTATTCTCGAAAGTTGCCCCAAATTCAGCTATAATAACCGTACGTTGTAATTGGGTGAAGACGGTAGAGCCAAGATGAAAGCCAACCTGCGACAGGCACAACAAGCAAACGGACGATCGAGTTGAGCAGGGGACCATTGACAACCGATCTTTCGTAACCCAAAATAGTTTACCAATCTTTCTGACACCCCCCGTTCGAGCACTAGATAATGATCCGATCATACTAGGCCGTGCCAAATTTATCGAAGCCGACTTGTAAATGAAAGACAAGGAAAGGTCGACCAATTATCTGGCATCGCCCAGCAAAAGAAACGTATATAGTCGTGCCTCGGGGTCACCAATCAAATCACTCGCTTATCGCGTAATCAAAGCCGCCCACCTGTTGTCCAACCAATTATTCGTATTGGACCAATCTCCCCCCCTCCATCAAACCAATAGACCGCCCATGAAATCGATCACTCGTTAAACCAACCGGTTCCCTATCGCCCACAACAATCGCTAACCAATCGTTAACTAATCGCTAACTAATCGCTAACTTATCGTTAACTAATCGCTAACTAATCGCTAACTAATCGCTAACCAATCGCCAACTAGTCGCTAACCAATCGCTAACTAATCGCTAACTAATCGCTTCACAAGACACCAGATCGATCGCCCAACCACGAAGATCATCACCCACCTATTAAACCAGCCTCTTACCAAAGAAGTCCTCCAATTGGATTAATTGTCGGTGGATGATCTCACCATTGCCTCCCGATTAGGCGATGCCCCATCAATTAGAGAGATGACCCCACCTGTCAAATAAATTGTTATGCACTCGAGAAATCTCCGATCAAATGGAAGGCTAGCCAGATTGCCAACCAGACGAAGCTGTTTGTCCATCGAAATGATCAACCGAGAAGCTTGCGGTCTAACGTCAGACGACGTGTGTGAAGCGATGTGCGGATCAAACAGCCAAGCGATCGGCGAAACGAGTTAGGAATACTAGGCCCGAACCAGCAAACAATGACGACGAAACAACTAACAAATGTTAACTCACAAATTTCGGAACAGTCTGCAAATGAGAATCTTTCAGTTAATATATCATAATAGACTATCAATGGGACAGGCGGCCAACCCGGAAAACGCCCAAACTATTAACCAGATGGGTTATAGGTTAGCTGTGAACCAGCCAACCGATCTGTTAGGCAAACGGTCAGACATACGAGTCAAACCGCCGACCATCAAGACAAACAGTTAACCAACCGTACAAACGGCTAACCAACCAGTCAAACGGCCGACCAATCAGGGAAGCAAGCAGCCGCTGAGATCTCCAAATAATCGACGAGGCAACAGTGGCTAACCAACCAGTCAAACGGCCAACCAACGACCAATCAGGGAAGCAACCACCCGCTGAGATCTCCGAATGATCGATGAGGCAATAACGAACCGGGAGCTTGCTACGATTTCGTTGACTACGTCTGAGACGCGATGGTGGTTTTCCAGGATAGCAATTGTTGACTCCCAGTAATGTGAATGTTTTGATATCCTGGTTGGTCTCGTCCCGTCGTTTGGCCTGTGAGTTGGGGCGATGCTTGCATGTGGGACGTGTCATCTGGGATTTGTTTTGTTGCCCCCTGTTCTGTATTATTTGGCTGTTCCCTTCCTCTTTTCTTTGCCTCTTTGCCTTCTGGCTGTGTGCAAGTGGGTCGATATGATACACGGGTGTGGGGGCAGCCGCCCTTCTACCTACATCCACGTGGGCGGCCTTGTACGCAAGAGGTTCTGAACAGGGGGAGTCGAAGGAAGAAGATATAAAAGAACGAATTCGTTCTTTTTTCTTCTTTTCGCTTTTGCGCTCTCATATTCATGTGATGATATATGGATGGTTGCGTGAATGTCGAGTGCGGAGTACGCGTTAACGTCGTCGGGACTTGCTGGATATGCACGCAAACGATACCGAGGGACAGCTACATTTTGAGTTGCGGTTTATTCACGCTCTCTCTGTGAATTGAGATCAGTGCCAACGGATAGAACGGAACGGACTCCTACGCGTTTGGCTTGGGATGTCGCTCGCGTTTGGCTTGGGATGTCGCTCGTTCGGTTTAATAACCGGCGTGTTGGGACGTGAAAAGTGTGACTGGATTGACAACAACAACAAAAAGGCATTTGGCTTCAACTGCCTGAGGGGATCGAGGTCTAGCAGCCGTTGAGGTCATTGGAAGACGTGTGGGACTGCTTCGTAAGACCCGCGGCTATTGGTAAGGGCCCTCTTCCTTCCAGTACTTCATTTTCGGATGAGGAGGGGGATCATTGGGTGGGTCTTCTGAGGTAATTGTGCGCTTGCAGGGGATTTCATCTCTGTTACTTTGCTCTAGACGTTGCGGAGCTTAAGCCACCAGTAAGTACTTCCTAGAGTCGTGCCCGTCAACGCGCCACGATTTTAGTAAACGTACGGGCTACTATAGGAGCGCCCAAATTCATCCGACTAGATAGAAATGTTTCTACTCTATTTTTAACTGCGGCCGATAGCTGGGCCAAGTATTGGTGGTTTAATATTAGTACTAATAACAAATAGGACTCCATACTTGGTTACCGTACGCTGTAACCAGCGTTGTTAGTTGCCTTTACTATATACATTTGTGGAAGTCGTGTTTTGAAACAGCTAAATTGCAGGTGAATTTTATTTTCAATTGTGCCCCTTGTTGAGGCGCATCAAATGTCTGGGAAGTCGCATAACAAACTCGCTCCCGTGTTTTGCCTTCAGATCTTGACCCAACGTGGTCCTAAATGCATATCTTTTCTGGTTGCGAGATGCGTTGACCACGTTTTTGATGGACGGACTATTCTCTTGGGCTGGGCCCAACGCATGTCTTTTCTGGTTGTGGTTGGGTTGACACTTTTTCATGTACTGACTAATCACTTGGGCCGGGAAATTTGTTCCTCTGGATGTGGTGCGGGAACCAATCAGGAAGGGAGGACGGGGCCAACTATTGAAGAGATTCCTGATGATGCACCTGTAGATGAACAGGCCCAGTCGTCGTCTCGGCGTCGATCTGGCGGATCCCAAGAGCCTATTGTCGAGCATCCAGACGATGGTATGGATAATCTGATTCGGATGAACCTTGTTGCTTTACATAAAAAGCACTCCCCCCCCCCCTTCATTTTGCTTTTTGTTTTTTGTTTTCTTGATATTTCAATACATCCTAGGGGATGAATGGCTTGCATGGAGTCATAAATACTCTTTGACGGAGGAGAGGAGAGAAGTGTATCACTTTGGTTAGCCTGTGCCTGCTCTGACACGTTGTTTATAGGTCAAGCGGGGGGGAGTTGGACTGAACTAGTACTACGATGTGATGAGGAATGGTGGTACGTTGTATTCTGCATTGCTGTACGTTGGATTTGCTGAGTCCGCTCTGATGTGTTTTGTTTTTAGGTGCAACCAAGTGTTGTGATATTGCTGGCCCCTTGTGCTGACGTCTTGTCTCGTTTTATTGCTCTTCTCCTTTGGAACCGTCCGTGCAAATGGAAATGGATTAGTGCAAACAAGTGTTGTGATATTGCTTGCCCCTTGTGCTGACGTCTTGTCTCGTTTTATTGTTCTTCTCCTTTGGAACCGTCCGTGCAAATGGAAATGGAAATGGGTACAGAGGAGGAAACGCAGCATAGGAGACGTTCGGATCACCACCGGAACCATGCCAGAGATCATCACGGGGCCAATGATGTGGCCTCACGGCCAGCTGGTGGTGCACAAGTGTTCAGTTTCTCATCAGTGCAATCTTATTCCAGGGATGGATCTGGGCCAGGCAACTATTATTCGAAGTCGACTACCACAAGAATGGGGCCAGATGGGGTGAGTGTCATCCATTTTAGGCAATGAAGAATAGCAGTTGCCAGTTTCAAGGAAAATGATTTTTTTTTTTTTTTTTTTTTGTAAAGTCATTCAAAGTTATATTCCTTCAATAAGATGAGGCCGGGGACCTCACAATTCTACCCGGTAAGTAGTGGGGCCATTACCTAGCTCCGGCTCGTGCTGGAAACCGGGTCCAGCGTCCCATTGGTCCACGGCCCTCTCCAAGAAAATCATGAGAGCGCAAGTAAGAAAATGGATTTTAGGCATGGTGCTTCGGGCCTTTGGTGAACTGTAAGAAAAAATCGTGCCTGGCTGCGGGTGATGAAGAACAGCAGGTGCCAGTTGCAAGGAAAATGAATCTTAGGTTTGTCGTACAGAATTGTCACTTGGGTGAACTGTAAGGGAGGAAGGACGAAGGGCGATGTGACAGAGAATTGTCCGGTGAAGGGTAATAAGCTGGAAAGGGAGAGAAGGACAAAGAGATGGGGAAATTTGACATACAGAATTGTCGGGTGAAGTGAAGCCGGAAAGGGATTGTCACTTGTCACTCAGGTGAACCGTAAGCCTTTAAGAGATCGAAGGGAACAAAGGGCAATAAAGGGCGATGTGACAGACAGAATTGTCGGGTGAATGGTAAGCTGGAAAGTGAGAAAGGGCAAAGAGAAGTCGGAGAGGGAGGAAAGGACATGGGCATACATAATTGCCTGACGAACCGTAAGGGAGAAGAGGACAAAGAACGGGTGGCTGTGACAGACTGTTCAGAGTTTGACCAATTCATCAGGGGGTCGAACTCTTGTACGTGAGAGGTGCAGTGGAGGAGTTGAGAAGACTGAGAAATTGAATGATTTCAGTGTCTTTGTTTTTTTTATTTTTATCCTTTGTCGAGTGTAAAAGAAATATAAAGCACTGAAAGAAATAAGAAGAATACACTAAAACAAAGAAGGAGATGCTGTTTTCTGTCTTTCTGGTTTGTCTGTCTCTTTCTTTGCTCGTCTGTCCTTTCATTTTTTCATTTCTTTGCCTATATATTCTTCTACGCCATGTGTTTGCAGTCAATGGTTGTGTGACAATATATACACATCTGATTCACAGTGTGACAATATATACATCAGTATGTATGCTAGTGGCGCTAATGCTTCCCCATAGGCAATTTGTTGAATTATGCTGGGAGCAATGCCCTGCTCCATGTAGGTAGGCACTGATGCCCAAGCCGATCCTGAGGAGCCTATAATCCTCGATGTCAATCTGTTTTTTCAGATGGGTCTTGGCCTTTCATTCCTTTCATTTTGTGTTGTATGGGGATGGCGACCCCTAACTGTGGTTTTTGCATGTAGGTGTGCACGTCCTAGACAGGTTGGTGTGGTATTTTGTTCAGACGTGCCGGGTAGGTTGGTGGGCCTGAGTGGACAGGCAGCATTTAAATTGTACCCTGGGTATGAATGCCCTTGTGGTTGTACCCTTTCTTGTTGCATTTCATCTAGTATGTGAGAAAGTAGTTTTACGAGTAGACGTAGTGTTCTACTCTACTTGTGGATCGCACACAGATGGTTCATTTCGAATGCCTTTATTGTTCAGATGTGCCAGCCAGGTTGGCGAGCATCAGTGGACAAGCAGGGCTTGAATTGTACGCTACGCGGTGTATGTTTGCCTATGAGGATGTGCCAGCCAGGTTAGTGAGCATCAGTGGGACAAGTAGGGCTCGAATTGTGTGCGGTGTATGTTTGCCTATGAGAAGGTCCTACCTACAGAACGTGACAATTTTGCGTACTTTTACTGGTAGTAGACGTCGTCATTCTACTGGCGGATTTTACACAGATAAGTCACGGTGTCACGGTCAAGTGTCACGGTCAAATGTCACTGTCAAGTGTTGATAAGGCTTGTGGTTCAGATTTTCATCTCCACTGCTTCTGTGCTCTGTAGTCCTGGCTTTGAAGTGCATATCAGATGGTTAAGAGATATTCCCGTACGTCTCAGGCATGTGTTAACATATCTCATCTGGTTTGGCAGTGGGACATGCTCCTGGGTTTTGAGACTTGTCGCTGTAGAACTGCTCTGCCTCTTTTGTGTTGTGGAAGCACGTCTCTGTACTGGTGCCACGGGTGTAAAGTGGTGTACCACAAAACTGTCGAGAGATTATATCCGTAATTTGTCTGGTTCGTCAGCAGGACATGTTCCTTGGTTTCGCAGAAGAAAGTAGAAGCTGGAATGCGGGGGGGATTTGTTAGCACTCCTGATGGTGTGGTGTCCATCGGGAGTTCTCATGGCCGTCTTTCCATGAGTGTGGAGGCAGATGTTGAACGCACACTTCTTGTGCCCGAACCAGAGATTTGGGTGTTGGGTACTAGGCAAGTGCATATACTACCCTGAACATGCATTTGCCATGCTGTGGTCAGCAAGTGAGTAGTGCACAGACGACCTTAATCATGCATTTCATGCATTTCCATTCTAAGCCAGCCCGTTTTGAGTGCTCAGTCTCGTTTTGTTTAGTCATTCGTAGTTGGAAAAAAGTTACGAATGGCATTATCTTCCTTTATCTTTCCGTCCATGTGTGGTTGGGAAGAGGCTGCCTTTTTTCCTGTCTCAATGCGATGAAATTGGGTCTATTCAAGGGAAAGGAAACTGTGTGGGGACCCATCAGCCCCAGAGTCTTGTGTAAGTGAAGTGATGCTCTCCCATTCTCCCCAATTCTCCTCCTACCACAACCACCGCCGTATGCATAGGACCACTACCGGGTATAGGTGTAGCTAATTATAATATGACTTCGAATAGATCATCCGTTTTTTTTCAATTCGACTGTATCTCTACTAGATCTTGCAGGGTGTTTATGACTGTGCAATGCATGTAGTGATTATGTGATATTCTTCTTAATTTTTGAGAGCATAACCGTGTGAGATTTCTGCAGGCCACCTCGCACCGCCTTGTAGATTTTGGGCCCTATAGCCGTTGCGGGAGGTCTGTAAATGATTGATTGTACACTCTTCTGGTATCTGCTGTTTGAAATTGAATGTGGCAAGGAGCTGAAGTGGCTCTTCTTGTACTGGGGCGCAGTGGTTCAGAGGTATGATGTTTTTGTTTTTTGCATTGTAATGTCCTGCAGGTTGCAGACCAACAGACCCGAGAACAAGACTCCCGCAGTAATACTGACAAGTTGAAGTATGTGCGAGCGCTTGGTAGCAAGGTATGTTGATTCAGGAGGTTTGTGGATTCTTGTTTTGTATTCTGGGCAGTGGCGTTGGGCAGTGGCGTGTTCAAGCAATAGAAGATTATTCCCTGGGCAGTTGTATGTTATATGTTTTGATATTCGCAAGCATGATATGATGGTCCATCGACTCAGAAATGTAGATCGTCACTGGAACTATATGGCAAGGAAAGGATGGGGGTTTTGCCCGAGGTTTCAAGACTGCTGTATAGGGTGTGAACTTTTGATAAAGTTCGATGATGTATTGAGCTTTGGCTCCTGTGGCTCCTGAGCTTTGGCTCCTGTGTTGGGTGTGGTAAAGGCGAGGAAGAGTGGAGGGCATGCAAGAAGATGTAGGGTTGGTGGGTTGCTGATCTTGAGAGTCACTGGTAGTTGAAGACGCTTCGTTTGTTGTAGTTATGCAAGGAAGGTGAGGGGTTCATGGGTTATGTAAGGTGGCCATGAGGGGACTGTGTAGCACAGGGCAGAAAATGGAGGGGGGGAGGATGGTGATCGGGGAATGATTGTCTGAATTTGGATATTGCAGAGTCAGGGATCTTTCACTGCGGCGTAAGGAAAGAGTGTTTTTTTTTGGGGGGGGGGGGGGGGGGGGGGGGGGGGGGGGGGGGGGGTCTGCCTGGCTGCAGGTATTATCGAGAGCCACGTTGTTTCAAGCAGTGTCAATGTCGAGATGGGGTATATAGCTACAGCAATGATGGGTTGCTGGGTTGAATTTGAGATTCGTCGTTGTTTGTGCATGCCAATCGTATCATATACTGAACTGTGATTTCTGTGTCCTCTTGCGATATCCAGGCCCGATCTGTTCTGCGAACTCGCAAGGCTGATGGTGAGGAGGAGAGCCTTCAGACTCTTCACAACTTGGAGGAAGGTATGTCTATTTGGACTGTTTTATTTTGTTCTTTGCAAGAAGAATGCCTGTTTCATGGTATTCGATGGTTGTGTATGGACATCAAAATCCCGTGTTTACGACCGGCAGGCAAATCTTCCAGCAGATATCCACCTCAGGGTGGAAGGGAAAAAAAGCACGACTTAACAGCAAGATGCGCTGACTCAGTTTTCTGGTGATGTTGGACTTCTCCATCCTATTTCCATCCGTTCCACACGGACCGGAAAAAGGAAAGGATGAAAAAACAAAAAAAAGAGAAAACGACAACAAACGAAAAAAGAGAGCAGCTTTTGTGCCGAGGTGACTTGGGTCACCTGTGGCGTTATGTCAAGTTCCACATCGGCCACTCGAATGGCACACCCATGTCTCAGCTGCAACCAGCGAAACATTTCCTGTGTTGGTGTGCATCAGGCAAATGCATCCTGGGAAGGCTGTGAGGGCTGCCAGAGTTCAGCCCCCCTGATGAGCGAGTGCAAGTCTAAATGTTTTTCCTATGTTGGGCCGCCCGGCCAAGCACGCCCGGGCCAGTTGGGCCGAGGGGGGGTCGCCCGGCAAAACCAGACGAGTCAAAAAAGAGGCAAGGATCCCCCCCGAAAAAAGAAGACTTGAGGTCAGGACTGTGCTTGGCCTAAGCAGTCAATCCGGTCTTAAATTCGGTTTTGGTGATGGGTTATCCAGGGGGGGTTGGGGGGTATGAACAGTGACTAAAGTGCTTATGAGGAAAAGGGTATTTGGGGGAGCGATATATGGCGAAGAAGACGAGACACGCAAACAACACACGTGCAGAGGGAAGACAATTAAGGACGACTTGAGAAAAGTGCCGTTTCAATTTCTGTGCCCCCCCCAAAAAACACATGTACCAAGGGTGAAAACTTGACCAGCAGCAATATTTCAGTGCAAGTTCTGGAGAATCATAGAGCCAATCAGGAACTACTGCCAGTAAAGAAGCCCGCCGCCAGGGTTACACACGGCCCTCATTTCTTGCATGGGATGGATGTGTTTGAAGGAACTGATGGTGAAATGTGGCTGATGAATTCTGTGTGTGTGTGTGTGTGTGTGTGTTTGCACGCGTGTGCAGAGGAGGCCGCTACCTTTGATGATCAGTGGCAACAAAAGGCTGAGAGGGCTCTTCCTCGCTGGTATGATGGTTCAGGCCGCGCTCTCCCTGATCAATCTGGTGAGTACAACTGCAATTCAGATGGAGCTACAGTGATAACAGCCCCTTGCCTGTGATGATCACATGTTCACCTGTCTCTGGGCCCTTGGAATCAATCTCAATGTAAACCAGGCATTAACAATGCTATCCCACTGAAGGGCTTTCCGGGCAACCAAGATTTTCTGATTGTGCATCTGGGAATGGCAGCGCGTATGATTGGTTCTGTGAGGTTGCTGGAGTTGTTAGGGGGGACGGGGGCAGGGGGTATATGAGTGGTGCAACCAAGAGTGTTGTTGAACCTGGACAGACGTCGTTTGTGGTGCTGGATGTTTGCTTCAGCCTGCTGTGAGGGAGGCATGTTATGACCGATCGTAATGATCTAGGTGTAGTAATTGGGCTTGTTGCTGGACGTGAATGAAGAACATAACATGTGGAGAGTTGCAAGTATGAAGTCGTTGTATCTCCAGTCCATTTCATTTGTGGACTTAATTTGCCCATGTGAGGGTCACGTGAAGAGATGCGACCTAGTGCGTATACTACAGAGTTTGAGAGGTGTGTGCATGGGAGATGCGACCTAGTGCGTATAATACAGAGTTCGAGAGGGGTGTGCATGGGTTCTGTTGAGGGAAGTTGCAAAGAATACGATCAAAAGTCTTGTGGAGTGGGGAAGTGCTTCAAGCATTTGGTGGGGATAAGAACCTGGAAGCTGATGTGGCAAGATTTAAAAGCGAGATTGATTTCTAGACGTCCATGATATTTTCTGCAGCCTTTTGAAGGTCTTTCTCATATGCACGTGCGAATGCAAGGGTCCTGGGTGCCAATCATTGAATGCGGTCAGGATTTAAACAGCCAATCGGTGGTCTTGGTTTTGAACCTCGTGCAGTTTCTTTGGTGTTTGCCCTGTAGACAAAGCGCAGAGTTTTATGGACTAGCTACCTCATCAAGTGCTCATCCTAGTCGATCTGATCTAGTCCAGCATACACATGTAGAGTGTGAGGGTGCTACTGGATGACATTGTTAGTCTCGACCAAAAGACTTCATCAGCGTTTGCCAGTGTTCTCCGATAAACCTAATGCCTCTATCCCTTTAACTACTGTTAAAGGGTGGACATTATCTTTAACCCAATGTGTGACGAACTTGTGAATAACTATCTGGCAACAGCATCAGAAGCGCACTGCGTACTCAATTCAACCCAGAGAGCATACGGTGGAACCGCCATTCGAATCTCTTTTCGAATGGGGCAGAGGGCTCGTAGTACCTACCACACTTCACACCTACCGGCAGAGGGGAACACGAAACCAAGCACGTTGCATACTTGCTCCTCAGCTGGCAGTGGAACAAAAGCTGCAAATTGCCAAATTTGCTAAACCTGGAAACAGGAAGCATTACTTTACTCTGTCCACCTTACTTTGAAATGAAGTCAAGAGACAGATTCTCTGGATCCTGGCAGTATAGGTAATGGTTTCAGTGACCATATTACCATCAGAGGGCAGATGTCAGTAGGTGAACTCAACAGGTCCGCACCAAAGTTGTGGCGCATGCAGTGCGTGCCTGCTGTGCCCGTGTGGAGGATGGAGGTCGCACATGCTGAGTGCACACTGCAGCACACCTAATCTTGCATTGACATGTGTCTAGTTAGCTCTTGTGATTTTTATTATAAAGGCCACTGTGATGAAATTTGTTCAATTCTTTTAATTGTTTTTTCTATTCTTTTATTTGTATTTGAGGAATGGAAACTTACATCCCAGGGATACGAGAAGAGTTTCTACATCAGTTGTGGCGAGTTAAAACTGATATGTAGACGCACCCAGAGAGGAGATGTCTAGACATGAACTCAGCAGGTCTCTACTGCTGTTGTGGCGCATGCAGTGCACGCCTGCCGTGTCCATGTGGTGCATTGTGCACTGCAGGACTGTGGCGTGCGCACTGTGCCCCAGACGTAAAAACGAGGAATCAGTGCCCTCCGCTGTGTAGATGATGACCCAGGCCCAATACAGACATGGTGAGGGTTCCCGCTGCCGTGACGGTTCCTTCTGCACGTGGATGAATTAGAAAAAGTGATGATTCTCGTCAGATGCAGGAATGATGGTGAGTGTCCGTGCTGCCCAACAGAACTTCGCTTCTTTGTGAAGTACAAATGAGGGCTCTATGTTTGCAAGATATAAATTAGAGGAAGGAATAGAAGTGGACCCATTGTGTCGTCCAATTAGAGGTGGTGATTCAGGTCAGCTACAGTCATGAGGGTTTTTGCTTCCCCTGAATGAGATAACGGCTCGGCTCTTGTGTCGATGTGTACCAGTAACGCGTGTCTTGGAACTATTTCTTGGTAATTTGGCTAATTTGAGAGTATATTCATAACGTATTTGGTTAGGAAGAGCTCTATCTTGACAAATCGCTTGATTCACACCAATACGTGCATGCTGTTGGTTTGTGCTCTTGAAAACTGTGCTTTCCCTGAAGCTCGTGTCCTTAAAATTGAAGTGACAATTTTTGCCGGATACACGAATCATAAGTGTGAATCTCTCTCTCTCTCTCTCTCTCTCTCTCTCTCTCTCTCTCTCTCTCTCTCTCTCACACACACACACAAAACATGGTCAGTGACAGTGTGTTGTGTGATGCCACAGTGCCATATGGCACCTGTCCCTGCCACAGTGACATATGGCACCTGTCGCTGTTCCGCTCCCCTACTCCTACCGCACTGCCCCACGGCACTGTTGTATGTTACTGCACAGGCTGTAGTAACTGATTCAATAAATGTTCTCGTGTGCTGTAGTGGTGTGTTTTCTGTTTTTCTGCGTCTCTCAGACAGGTGGTGTTGCCTCCCCTGCGTTCAATGCGAGTCTGCTTTAGGTGTCCTGTGAACCACACTTAACACTGCATTTCGCTTGCCTGAAAGGCGGTGATGCTGGAGTAAATCACTTGGGGGGGGGAATTGTTTTGTGGACGCAGAACCAAGTGGTTCCAACTCGCTCATTGCCCGGGCTCTGAATCGAATCCCTATTGATTCTATATGATGTGTTCGTCATATGTTTCTTGTTTTGGCTTTGGGGTGTGTGTTGATTATGTTGTGCAGGTGGCCGATCATCCCGAATGGCATTACCTGCAAATTCCTCCGGAGGCAGGAACACGAGGGCAAGAGGTGTAAGGCAGGCATGAATGAAGCCCTTGTGGACGTGAATGCTGCACATGGACTGACAGTTTCTATGGGGCGTAGGCTGCCTCCCAAAGGGTAACCGAGGCGTGCAAAGGTTCCCTCTGGCTGGGGACGGAAATCAGCCATCGAGTGTGAAGACAAAATGGAGCTCGACTGCAAGACTGACTCGTCAAGCGGGGATGAAAGTCGGCCTTTAGTGATCTGTTGAGGGTGCCGATTGGAAGGGCCGTTGCTCAACGTATAAAAGTCTGTGAGCTGTGTGAATGGTGTATTGGTACAGCACTAACCCACAGGTAAACACAGAAGCGAGCAGCGTGGCCAGCTGACATCGTGTGTGTGTAACGAATTGAATGCCCGTGCCAATAGTTGTCGTCGCCTGCGTTATCTTTGTATGGCATCTACACCTATGCGCAAGGTGTCTTTGCATGTTGCTATTTGATTCGATGGGAGTCGGATGAAGTTCTATGTATGTGCGAAAATGTGTGTACGTTGGGCTAGACCTGCTGCAGATGCTTGTGGGGAATTACAACCGTCGACCATGTGGCTAACGTCTGAAGACAAGTGCGTGGGTTTCCAATTAATTGTGGGTGGGTTATGGATTCACTGTGCACATCGGAGCCTCCCTGAGCAGCATGGATGCCACTGAGGCCACCATACAGCATATCTTGTCAAGAGTCTGAGTAAGAGTAGCCTGTCTACGTCACGGTGACTTTACTTCACGGGCGAGGACTCAAATTACCATATTTTTCAAAAAGACCTTTTGTGGTTGTATGGTGTTATTGTATAGTTTAAAGGGATACATGCAGCTGTCGTGCATTTGCTCCCATTGGGAAAAAGGGAACATCACGTTTTTGAAGTTTCGGGGTGATGGAAAGGGGCTTTAGGTTTCTCAGGGTCTCTGTGATCAGATTCTGATTTTTTTTTTTTTTAATTACTTGTTACCGTGGTTTCGTTGGGCCATGTATTATTCTGTTTTTTTCGTCTTTTGAACTCCCTGCACATGACGGCATGAACAAGTAGGAGGGTGTGTCTGCGTTCCTGTTCTTCCCCATCTTCAACCCCCTTCTTTTCCTTGTCTTCTTCTCCTGTCCCCCTTCTTGGAAAAAAAAAGAAAACATGAGCCTTTGGCTTTTAAGCGCATCAAGTAGAGTGTCTGAGGGGAAGTAGATTAGCCAATTTGTTTTCGGGTGCACAACTGAAATATGTCGAAAAAAAGGGATTGGAGAATTGTGGACCCGTTTCCCTTTGAGGGAACTTGTTGCTCTCTGTCGAAGAAGGTACATGATGTATGAGTGGAATTATTTCTAAGGGGGAGAACGGGGGATGCACGGCCTCTCGTTGTGATGTATGACACCCTCTGTTGGCTGCACTGGAGTGCAGTTCTCAATTGACGGCAGTCGTTGCAGGCTGCTGTTGTGGGTATGTACGTGTATTCTTCTGTGTAATTACTCCGCAGTTCGCAAGTAAATGCAAAGCACTCGCGTCCTTGATATGTACGTGTGTTTCTGGGCATATGTACGTGTGTTTCTGGGCTGGGCATGTGTACGTGTAAATGGTCAGTACTCATGTTGTTGACCTCAATCGTTCTGACTTGGCATTGTGTGAGGGGTCGTGCTGCCGTGCTGGAATTGTGGCTCGGATGGTGTCCGGCATTCATTGGATCTCGGGTTTAGGGTTTTGCCTGTTGGATGCCAGCATGTCCGGCATTCATTGGATCTTGGGTATGTGTCTTCCTGTGAGATGGTAGCAGCGTCTGAGTTGCGGTAATTTGATTTTGCTGTTTTGAATGCTCTGTGGATCAAGGGATGGATGGCCGTACGTAGCCATATACATGAAGCTGTCTCTGAGGGAGGGCATCCTTGGTGGGCATTGCGATTGGGGATTGATGGGCCTGCTTATGTGCCTGGTTGTAGGATGAATACGTGACTTGCAGCTTGTGATGTTCATCTCTGCCTAGTTGTTGAGTGTAATGTAGAAGGATGCCGAATGCCGTGAAAGGACGATCTCCCTCTTAAATGATGGCCTGGAATGCAGTGTGCAATCTCTGGCAAAAAGCCTCGATGGGGAATGAACTGCAAAGTGAGCAGTAGAATTCGTGTCGAGGAATCTTTTTTGTGCTGCGTGTAAACTGTTAACATATCCAGTGGGACTACTCCCTCGAAGTGGATGGGTGGTTTTCCACATTGCCCTCGATGCTGATGGGTGGTTTTCCACATTGCCCTCAATGCTGATGGGTGTTTTTCCACAACCCGAAAAACACTCAGTGCAGGCCACCCCCAAAAGCATGCTGCACTGTTTCATGTTTGGTGTGTGCTTCCATTGCCCGAATATCTATAAGCACCTTCAAACGACAAGTTGTTGTTGTTGTTGTGCCTTGGTATGTATATTGGAAAGGAGTTGATCCAGCCGCAGGTTCCCCTACCGCTACCTTGTTACGACTTCATATGTTGTCAAAACAGAACTGCTCCGTAAACCCAAGGCATAGAGGAATAAGAAGACAACGAACGAGGGGCTGTGACGGACTGTTTCATTGGAGTTTTTTGGCCCTGACTCGTGTGGTGCAGAGTCTCCTGACAGATGATACTGAAAAGTGATAACCTGCCTTAAAACCGAGGTCGCAGTCGAAAGCATTGATCAAAGTTTCTTGTTTGAAATAATCGGAACGCACATCAAAATGGTGCTGGCAGTACCGAACAATAGAAAGGTTTCACAAAAATAGGCGATTGCCGGACAACTGCTGCCCATCTCAGTGGCTCTCAAAAGGTACTGTGATGAAAATCAAAGCAGACTAGCACTTGCCATCACCAGACGGGAAACTGGACGGACTGCAGGTTCACAGGCTATCACGTGTGTAGTACGTTTTGAGGAAGAAGTGGTCTTTATGTAGTAAGTTTCTGGCAATTGAAAGTAATTAATCATATTTTTATTATTTTGCTGAATTCTTTGGTCTTTTGGTTATGGTAAAAGCATAAAAATAAACGGGCTGTTGAAATATGGGGCCTCCAATGGCTTATATACCTTGCCCTGCTCTGCCACTAAACCAGTGGTTGCACATAAGAAGTGATCCGCCCGCGTAGTCCGGATCTCTGCATAGGTTTGGTCAGACCAGGAACAGGAAGATATGCTGGGCTGCCTAGTCACATGGAAAGATGCAACGGGATGCTCGGCAAGAGGCCGTGAACAGGAAGATATGCTGGACTGCCTAGTCACATGTACAAATGCGACAGAATACTGGGCGAGAGTGTTGAACATGTGGGATGGATTATTTCCCCCCTCCCTCACCGAATATCGTATTGTTATCCTAGTTCAGATCTCTGCGTAGTTTTGGGCCTTTTTTTGGTTCACTGGGAGCTTTGGCAAGTACTTAGCTGTATGATATCGGGCGACTTCCTGATTGGAGTCATCCATCATGCATGAGGTTATTCATTACTCAAGTTGGAAAGCCGTGTGATGTACGACATCTTCAGACCAGGAACAGGAAGATATGCTAGACTGCCTAGTCACATGTAAAGATGCAACGGGATGCTCGGCAAGAGCCCGTGAACAGGAAGGTGTGTGTGTGTGTGTGTGTGAGAGAGAGAGAGAGAAGAGTCCGTAACCAGGAAGATGTGTGTGTGTGCGAGAGAGAGAGAGAGAGAGGCCTGGCACCTGAAAGGAGTGGCGTGTGAGAGACCTGGTGCGTGAAAGGAGTGGTTGCCAGGTCTCTCTCTCTCTCTCTCTGTCACACACACACGTGCACGGAAGATGATAGTTGTGGACACCAGAATGAATCTACTGCTACAGGGCGGTAAGATTCATTCTCTCTCTCTCTCTCTCTCTCTCTCTCTCTCTCTCTCTCTCTCTCTCTGTATTTTGGTTTGAGGGGGGGGGGGGGGGGGGATGTTGTGCAAATAGCAGTCGCTCGCCCAGCTACAGTGACGGACCAGTCCTATTCTTTGCCAACCTTTGTTCAACCCGATGAGTTAACGGCCGCGGCCATGTTTTTAAGCTGGGCAAGGTCCTGGTGTTTTAAGATTCCTTATGCAGGGAGCAATGAGCATCGGCAGATATTGGAGGGTGTTGGCTGGCGTGGTCACGGTACTAGCCCTTCTGGTCACAAGTCAGTCCTGTATGGCCTGAGGTCAGAAAAAATGGTTATCCTCGCAGACACAGAGATATCAGGCAGTTCATGATAACGGGCTGAGAGGGATATGCTGCGGGGAAGGTCCTTGTAAGAATGGGCTCAAGTGAGACAGTCGATCCTTCCAGTGGAGACCATTGGACTGTCAATGCTGTCAGGGTTCCCTGGGGTGTAACACACGGAAGTGTTTTGAGTTGACTTGCTGGTCGAGCAGGAACCGGACCGATGCTCCCCGTTATATGGTGGGGTTCAGAAGGACGTGTTTCTTTGATTAAAACGGAAAAAGAAGTTCAGGTGAGCTGCGAATGTGTGGTAAGACGTGTGGGAATGACAGTTATGATTGCAAGAGAGGGTTCGCACTTGTGCTCGTGTTTGTTTGGCCTGTCTATTAACCTCTTGGGAACATGGAAGGGAGATCAAAACATTCAAATGAGTGTGCCATTACATGGTACCATGAAATGCCGTACCGAGATGGCACCTTGCACGCAAACTGAGTGTGGTACTCTATGGGCAGGAAGTGTGATAATATGCAGGTTTGGTGCCGTTCGGGTTGGTCAGCGTTGTTATGTGGCCCAGGTGCCACAGTGTGGGGAGGGAAAAAAACTAATGGGCAGGAAGTGTGATAATATGCAGGTTTGGTGGCGTTCGGGTTGGTCAGCGTTGTTATGTGGCCCAGGCCCCACAGTGTGGGGAGGGAAAAAAACTAAGGTACCACATTCTGGGGAAGGAAAAAAATTAGAAAAAAAATTAGAAAAAAACTAAGTAAATAAATCGGGGAAATCGGGCGGAAAAAACTGTGTTAAATCGGTTAGTAAATAAATCTGGGGGAAAAAACTGAGTAAATAAATCGGGCGGAAAAAACTGTGTTAACTCAGTTACTAAAAAAAGGACAAGAATAAAAGAAAAGAAAAAGCTCAGAGGGTGTAATCAGATCAGGACTTTTGCCGAACTAAATCCAGGACCTGGTTGTAATTGCTGTCTGATACATTTACAGAAGTCTTAGTGCAAGTGTGACCCGTGATGTCCCCTTACTTTTTTTTTTTTTTTTTTTTAATCGTTTTTTATGTCCGCTTACTGTGCGTACCCCACTGATGTAATTGCAGTCGGGAACGTTTTCCAAATGTTCATTCATTTCCACTGGCGTTCGAACTTGGCTATGTATTTTGATACACCCACCTGAGCATTTGGTGCATTTCTTCATTCATTTCCACTGGAGTTTCCACTGGAGTTCGAAATTGGCTATGTATTTCAATACACCCATGATTTGTTCATTCATCACTGGAGTTCGAACTTGGCTATGTGTTCCGATACGCTAGGTGTGAATGGACCTTATTTTGTTTGGCCAAACAGATTCGTAACTTGTTACATGATATTTGTTTTAATTTGAGAATATCCTCGGAGATGGAGCTTGGCGACAGAGTTAAATTCTTGTCTACACTTGTCAGTCTTGGAAAAACGAATATTATAATGGAAGCACCTATCTCTGATATAATAAAAAACCTTAGTAGATCTGGATTTTGTGATGAAGGGCCATCTGGTGGTGCATTTGTTCTTTCGATGGCAACCTGTTTCCCGTGTACTTCTAATCGGACCTCAGGCACTAAACGGTTGTGCGCTGGGCCGTGGTCTACGTGGGCTGGTTTCAGGACGTGCACTGAGTGGTATCTCCCATGTACTTGTAGTTGGGGCAACAAATGTGCAGAATGAGTATGAATCTTCTGCTACAACATGGGAAGACACACCACCATTGTTGTTGTATTTGTCTATGTGGTGAGTGGTGCCCTGAGGACCTATACCCTGTACAATGCAGGGCTATGATACTGCTCGCTACTGGAGTCTCTCTGGTGGTCTTCGAGTGAAACCATCGGCGTGCGGAGTCCCTACTCCCCCTCCCCCTCCCCTGTGTGGCCCTGCTCATGTGGTGGGAGCAGGGCCACACAGGGGAGGGGGAGGGGGAGTAGCGAGCAGGGACTCCGCACGCCGATGGTTTCACTCGAAGACCACCAGAGAGACTCAAAAAATATGGTATCTTTGGCACATCCATGGACTGTTGAATTACAGACCCAGGCTAGCCATATATCTTTTCTAATTTAAGACAGAGCGTACGACTGGATTTGAGCTGGAGGCCTTTCCCTTACCAAGGGAATGCTCTACCACCTGAGCTATGTGGGCTCACTGGGAAATTGGAGAGGATCGCACTTGAACCGAAACCAACGAGATGCTCGTACTGGGGTACTGTGGACGTTATTGGGGCAGAGTGTGGGATGCATTTTTTCAAGTGCCGGTGTGCTACCTGCTTGTGATTGCCGTGGGTTCACTCTGATGTTGTATTCGGATATTTGTGCTGTCCTCCCAGCACCTG